TGTTTATTTCAGTCTGGGACAGTTTATAATTTATTTTATTTCCTTTACCTGAATTCAACTGTATGCTGCTAATTTGGGTTAATACTGATAATTACTCAAAACAGTGAGCATGGAATAGTTAAATCACTCAAAATGTTTTTCCTTTTTTTTTTGAACAGTAAAGATTAAACCTGTCCTGCCACTCCCCACCCCTGGTGAAGAAGGGATTTAACACTTGGTGGGAATGAAGAGAAATCTGTTCTGTGTTTTTTTTTTACTTGACACATTTTCAAAGGGAATAATATTTTTTTCTCCTGTTGGATCTTGGTTTTTCTCCTTAGTGGTGATTTAACCTGCTGTTCTAGCTCAAATGAAAAGGTAGATTTATTTTACAGAAATGTTCTGTGAAGGATCCATCCCCAAGGGGAAGGAATTTTATCCACTGCTGGGAGGAAGGAGGCAGAGAAAACTCAGCATATCCAGCTCCCTCTTTAGTGGCCCTGGCTAAAACTGTTATGGATTTATTTAAAGTGAAATTTTCTAGTCAGAAATCATCCACAGAAACATCCAGCCATGGGAACACTCCAGGGACGTGGCTGGTTGGGTTTTCCTGGGAACAGCCACCTTCCAGTGTGCAGGTTGGCTTTTTTAATGGGGGTGTCAAAATCCTGGGAGATTTCTGGGAAAAGAGATGTTCTAAAAACAAGATTTTCAAAAACCTGTCTGCTTTTGGCTTACAGAGACAAGAAATCTCCTCAGTCCTCTAACATCAACTTCACCTTCAGCAATTTCTCATCCCACATTAAATGGGGAAATAAAACTGGATCAATTGCTGGATTCCTCAAGGATTTTTAATGAACTCCCCACAACCAGGAATTTGTTAATTCTGCAGGACAGGACAAGCTTGGGGGTCTTTGACAAACACCTTCATTTTCCCCTCATTCAACAGCCAAAATGCTAAATTTACAGAAGCTCTTGAATGTACTTATTCCAGAATAAACCTGATCCTTCCAGAGCCTGTTTTTTATGGATATGGAGTTAAATAATCATCATTACATCCCCACTGGAACAGGAGATTAAAAGCAAGACTACAAAATTCTGTGTGGGTGAAGCCAAAACCTCCCGACCTTTGGGGCCTGGGTGGTGAAAAATTCTTTTCTTCAGGCTGTTTTTGGACAGCTGATATGTAATAATTTGTTAAATTGCTCTGAATGGGAAAGGAAACAACTTCCAGAATTCCCACCAATCTGAGAATGTAATAACAGGTTACTCAGCTTGGTTTACAGTGATTTTTGCATGCATGAGGCTTTTGGTGACTTCCACCTTAATGGGAACGTAGATTGCACCACTTTAAGTGGTATTTAAATGGTATTAGACTTTAAATGGCATTTCATAGCATGGAAAAACATCCAAAATGCCATCCCCTCAAGATGATGGTCAGTGTTCCATGCAGAGAAACATGGAGATGTCATGGGCCCACAAAGGGTTCAATTTTTTGGTCTAAGAGAGATGAGGAGCAAGTCCATGAAGGGAAAACCTGGGAACAAGGCAGGACGAGGCATGGACTGACTCAAAACAGGATGAAAGGAGCAGCAGAAGTAGAGCCAAGTTGGGAATTTCTTATAGCAGCAGGGATAAATGTCAATTTTCCTGGAATGATTCAATTAAAATGGGATTTCATTGAGGGGCAGGAAGGGGCTGTTCCCACGTGCAAATCTCCACATGAGTTTGTGGCCACAGGGCTGGGGAACACACACAGCTCCCCTGAGCCAAGAATTAAACCTCAGATGCATCCTCCTCCCACACCAGCTTAATTCCACGCTGGAGAAAGGAATGATTTTAGCAGCTGGACAAGTTATTTCGTGCTGTGGAGGTTATTAACCTTTGGAAGAAATTATCAGGGAAGTGGGCTTTGCTCTGTGAGTGCTCAAGTGACTCTCTGGAGGTCACCACAGAGAAATGCTGGTGGTGCAAACAGAGAAATTTCTCAAGTTGGGTGGATGGACAAGGTGGCAAAGCAGGTGGGGAAGCCCCACCTGCCCCATTTCTGCCCCATTTCTGCCCCGTTTCCATTTTTTATGTAGACTCAGAAAATCCTGGAATGGTTTGGTTTGGGAAGGACTTTAAAGCCCATCCAGTGCCATTGCTCTGCCATGGGCGGGGACACATTCACTACACCAATACATTTATGAGGCTCATGGCAAAATACCAAGGAAATAGGAAATTTTTCCCTGCTTTTCTTTATCACCTCCATGGAAAACTCATTGAGACAACATTAATTCCAGTTCCTCACCTTTTACAGCAAAACAACAGCGTCCAGACCTCACTCTTGAAAATTAATAGGATCAGTTTGGAAGCTAATCATAAATAGAGAGAGGTTAATCAATTCCTCAGATTGTTGAGGAATTTATGCATGCTGGGACCCTTAATATATTCAACAAAGCAATGGCACCAAAGGAAATACCCATAGATTTTGTTTTCAAATAAAAATTTCTCATAATTCAAAATTGCCAGTGGGCTCCTTCCTTTCCTGATTTGTACAATTTGTGTTCCCACTGCAGAGGAACCACGCTCTGGCTTCATTTGCCTTCACAAGTGACATTGATGTGGCTTTTAAAGCCAGCAGCCTAACGTGTGATTTAGAGGCTCTGAGAAAGAAAATTATAACTCAGGGGGAAGAAATGGCTGCAAAATTTCCATTGAAATTGTTCGATTTCACTCCAGGGATGAGGCAGCACCTGAGTGGCTGTAAGTCAGTCTCTGTTGCATCTGAATATAGGATAGGGTTTTAAAAGCACTAAACAGCCTTGTGCTAATGCCTCCCCAAGACAAAGCAGAGCTCTTCAGACTGGCTTTTATGGCAGGAACAAAACAGGCGCAGCTGGAGGCCCTGGAGGCTCCAGACAATGCTTTTCCCTTTCATGCTGCAGCAGCAGCCAAACCCCAACCCTGCTCCAGAGCCCCCACAGAGGCAGCAGCGAAAGGCAGGGCACCCCAGAAAATGGAGGGGAGGGCAAGGACAGAGAGGCAGGAGGGATTTTCAAAGGTTCAAGGACTTCAATGCTCAGGTACTAATGAAAGTCAACATGACCTTGCTTTGCTTTCTTCTTTTGAAGCGCGAGAGTTTGTGATGAAGGGATCTGTGCCTGCTCACAACACTTTACAGCAGAGTTTACAGCAGCTCCCAAGTCCTGCAGCCTCATCCTGGGTCCTCCTGCTTGCCGAATTCACAGTAAGGACAGTCATGCTCCAGTCTTGGAAAGAAGGGTTGAGTTTCCTATGGAGAAACTTTTCTCCAACACGAGGAAACGGCCTCAAGTTGCACCGAGGGAGGGTGAGGTTGGATATCAGGGGAATTCTCTTCCCCAGAAGGGTTTTCAGGCATTGAACATTGGTGGAGTCTGCATTCCCAGTGGGATTTAAAGTCCATGTGGATGTGGCACTTGAGGGCGTGATCAATGGTGGCCTTGGCAGTGGACTCGATGATTTTAGGGAGTTTTTCTGACCGAAGCAATTCCATTTTGTTACATGCAATAGATATAATTTGTGCCATTTCTAGTATGATAGATGTAATATTGAATATTTGTTGGAGTATACACGTTTGTATTAGGAGTCCCCCCCACCCTCGCAGGAGAAACCTGGTGTATATTAGTAATAGATTTGAAATAAAAGGATGTGGCTGGCCAGGAGATGGGAGATGGGCCATGTCTGGAGAGATACAGGGACACCCAGGTGCTGATAATAAACTGATCATAAACAACCCGAGATGGATCTCACGGAAATCCTCGGGCAGATCCATGTGAATGCAGCGTTCCAGTAAATTCCATCAAGAGATTCAACAACTCCGGACACTGACTTGTTCTTCCTCATCACCAAAAAATAAAATCTCATTAACCTATGGACTCTGAATGGAAGAAAAGACTGACTGGTGAAATCTTGGCCGCAGGTGGAATTTTCCCTATAAAAACCGCTGGTGCCAGGATGGAGGTGTGGGCATAGAGGAAAACCTCTGCTGAGGCTGACTTCTGGTGCCGACCCCAGGCTTGGCACTGTTCTTTCCTTGTGGCTGGCTAGATAGAATTAGATTGCAAATGCATTTTTTTTTTCATTTTAAATTTGTCTGGACATATTTTCATTTATAACAATTTCAATTTCCGATCTTTTTGATGCTACTGTTGTGTACATCCTTGAATGTTGCAGAGCCCCATATTATGCCAATCCACAGGACACGTCCCAGCACTCCAGAGCTCAAGGAACTGGTGTGGCTTCCTTGGATAATTGGAAGAAGAAGGAGGATCCAGAGCAGCAGGCCGAGCTCTAGCCTGAGGTTCTTCTGCAAATTAGAGCTGTAAACAGCTGCAGACCCACATTAAAGGGGAGCAGAGCCTAATTGCCCAGTGGGATCGTGCATAATGCCAGCCTGAGGGTGTTCCCATTCCCATCCTTCCTGCCTCATTCCCACACGCTCCAGACAGAGCTGTTCTGAAGCTGGGGAGGATCAGAAGGGGAGCAGAGAGATGGGTACAAAGTCTTGATGGGTGTTTGCAGCATTTTCTTTTCCACCCTCTGAACTGTAACTGGAATTTGTTTCCAGACCAGGTGTGATCCCACCAGGTGGTTCTGCCTTTTCCCAGTGACTGCACAGCCAAGCTGGACCCGGCTGGGTGATTTAAAATGCCTTTAATGGCTTTGAGCTGGAGGGTTCATTGATGGGATATCAAAAAGAAATTCCTCCCTGGGAGGGTGGGCAGGGGCTGGGCTGGGCTGGAATTCCCAAAGCAGCTGTGGCTGCCCCTGGGTCCCTGGAAGTGCCCGAGGCCAGGTTGGAGCAGCCTGGGACAGTGGGAGGTGTCCCTGCCATGGCAGGGGTGGCACTGGATGGGATTTAAGGTCCCTTCTGACCCAAACAATTCCATGGCAGCAAGAGAGGAAAGTGATGTTCGGAACACCAAGGCTTCTATTTCCACAAAATCTTGGATGACACAGGATACATGGAGGTAGAATGGTGACTAAAATATGTCAGTGTTTATTCAGAGCATCGTGTGTACACGAACCTCTTCCCTGACCTCTGGAGCTCCTGATCTCCCATCCTTAAATTAAAGGGATAATGATGAAAAGCACTTCTCTCCTTGTCCTGTAATGTGAGAAGTGCCTGGCAATTAAGCAGCCTTTGAGGATGACACTGCTGATTATTTCAGGACAATCAAGTCCCAGCAGAGAAATGGGGTTGGAATGGGAAGAGCAGTGTCAGAGGCACACTTAAACAATGCCTGGCTTGCCCGTCATTCCCACCAATTATTGAAGGAGGGGGAGAAGGAAAACTATTTATAACCTGTCAGTCTCCAGAAACCACAATTATGATGATTTAATTAACACATGGAGAGGCTTTAGGCAATCACATCCTTCTAAATTTAAGAAGCAGCACATTTCAGGCCCAAGATGATTTAGAACATTAACAAATGCTGGTTGAACCAGGGCAGGAATTTGATGGCCTTGTTGGTTCCTTTTAGAGCATCCATCATGGCCCAAAGATAATCCAAAAGGCTGTGGCAATGAAGGATGGGAGCAGTGAGGAATCAGCAGGGCTTTCTGAGGCCATCCCATGGGAGGAGAAGCTGATTTTTAATGAGGACTGACTGAAAAGGAGCAAAGCCACACAACTCAAGTGTCCTCATCAAAGACACCCTCAAGTGCGTTGAAAAAAACATGGAAAAATAGGGTTTGGAATGGAAAAATGGACACCTTGCACTCAGTGCCAAACAGGTCCTTCTTTGGCCCAGTGCCTAACCTTGGTCTAACCTTGGCTTAACCTTGGTCTAACCTTGGCCTAACCTTGGGATAACCTTGGGCTGAGCTGTTCCACCCCTGGGCTGAGAGCTGGGGCACCCAAAACCAGCATTATTGCCAAAGCATTCCCAAATCCTGGGCTGCCCCACTCCCTGGCCACCTCCTCCAAGGAAATCACACCTCAGGTCTCATTTCCTCTTTGCTGTGTCCTGTTCTCCCAGGCAAAAAAAAAAAAAAAAAAAAAAAAAAAAAAAAAAAAATTACTCCTTTGTTGTTTCCATGCAGTGATTAAACCTGGAGTTGTCAGCTGCTGCCCAAACACAAATAATTCTTGCCTTCTTTCACCATCTATTGTTTTTTAAAATGGATTAACATCCAAGTAACATAAAGGAAAATCCCACTTCTTCCATATTTCACCATCAATTGCTTCTTGATTGGATCAACACCCAAGTACCACAAAGGAAAATCCCACTTCTTTCATACGAGAAGAAAAATCTTAACCACAGTTTACATGGGGGAAAATAAAAATTACAAAGAACCTCCTGCTCCGTAAATGATTCATTCACTGCCTATCAAATGTAGGAGATGAGGATTGCCTTTCCCACCCCGTATTTATTTATATAAATATAATCTATTTATTCCAGGAGCAGGTGGAAGCACTGGCCCCAAAGCTTTGTACCCCACTGAAATTCCTGAGCTCTGCCTGCTGCCATGAAGGATGTGCTGCATCCCCTCCCACTTCACAGCCAGCTCGTTTCTCTCCTGGCACAACCCTTCTACAGCTGAAATGTTCAGGCAGGAAATATTCAGTGTTTTATTTGACTAAAGGACTTGCAAATCTCAGGGTAAAATAAAGGATAAAATCAGTTTTCTCCATGAACAAAACACACACCTGTACAAGGACACAACATCAAAGGCCTCCCTGGATCATGGTCAAATTGATCACGTTGGTTTTCCCCACAGCCTAAACACACAAATATTATTTTTCTTTTTGTTATTGTTTATTTCAGAGGAAACGGAATAAAATTGTGTTGGTGAAAGAAGAGGAAAAAAAAGGAACCTTCAAAGCAAAGAGATTTTCTTTAAGATGACAAAATATGTGATGTAGGCACTAAAAATCAGGAGAATGTTCCTTATCTCATGAGATTTGAGAGTTTAAAATATAAATGGAAAGAAAGTCCCACAAAGGATAGAAAACAAAGCGGAGGAGCTCCAGCATCCTCGCAAAGCCTTTTTGTAGGAAGCAAAGAAAAGGGAGATGGAGAGGGAAAAGGGCACCTGTCACAATTCCAGGAGTGCAGGAATCCCTCTCAAGGACTGCGACAGGAATAACAAATGTCATTTCTCTTGTACAAACTCTTCAGTGCAGCAGCTTCTCCACTGGAGCACCCTCATGGGGCAGAACTTAAACCACCAGGGCTGTGGAAAGTGGCAACATTTGGGGAAAGAGGAAAAAAGGCAAAGAGGAAGCAGAGGGAGGATGATCCCAGCTGGACATTGTGCCTGAGGCTGGGAATCCACAGTGCAATTACAGAGCTCTGTTAATTAGCTGTCAGCCTTCCTTCTAGACAAGACCTAATGGAGCAAATGGAGCCTGGACTCTGCTCAGGGAAGTTCCCAAGCTCAGGAGAATTTGGGAGTGGTGGGTTCAGCTCCTTCCTTTGCCTTCGAGCTCTGCATTAACCCAGAGAAATCCACCTCCAAGGTCTCAGCAGCACCTGTATCCCAAACCCAAATTCCTGATGAGCTCCTCTCTCAGCCAGGCTCCAGAGGAAGCACCGAGTAAGAGTTTCAGAAGTGTTCCACATCCTCCTGCATTTCCTTTCCAAATCTGCAGCCCTCAATTGCTGCAGGAGGCACAGCTGGCTCAGCTCCTCCGGAAACACAGCCAGTCCATTTTGGGAACATCTTTGGGAACTCTCACACTTTACAAGTGCTGAGCCCAGGGAAATTTTGCCCCTGTGTGTCTCTTGCTACATCACTGGTGCCTCTCCAGCACACCTCCCCCTAGACTGGGGTTATATTTGCAATGCCAAGGGCAAATAAAGGGTCAGAGTGGTAAAAACTGCCCCATCTCTGGAATGTCCAAGGCCAGGTTGGAGGGGGCTTGGAGCAGCTGTGGAAGGTGCCCCTGCCCATGGCAGGGGGTGGCACTGGTTGTCTTTAAAAGCTCCTTCCATCCAAACCGTTTTATGATTTAATGATTTATAAATGTGTCTTCTCTGAGCTGTTCCTCCCATGGGCAGAGCCCTGAGGAGCAGCACTGTCACCTTCTCCTCTCCTGGCGCTCCCCACACAAACCCAGGGTTCAGACACTTCCCTTGGGCTGATTCACCCTCCCTTTACAGCCCAACACAAATTTAGGTTCCAGAGTCACAGAGAGGAGAGAAGGAGGCCCAGCACAGAAGGGAGCAGAACAGTTTGGTTAACTGTGCTCATCCTCCTGAGTCCCACAAGAGGAAAGAAGCCCTGGTGCTTTGGCCCTGCAGTGGGCACAAAGGGTTAATGAGGAGTTTCTGCTCCCATTCTCCTCACTCCTCACCTCCAGGGGACCTCTTTGCAATGTCCCACCTGTGGGATCACTCCTTTTCCATTCCCCAAGCTCTGGTGAGCTCACACCTCAGCCATGGGGTCCTTGCTCAGCATTCCTCTCAAACCCCTCTGGCTGATGATCGAAGGAGTGCAACCACTGTGGGAATCCAGAACTTCCCTCTGGCTGCCCTGGGACCCTGGCAGGGGTCAGGAACCCCCCTGGACAGAGCCCCCAGAGACACTGGCTGTGATCTCTGTCCATGGAAAAGAGTTTCCAATCCTACAGGATGAATTACAAGCTCTGAGTGTTTGATATCAGTAATAATTAAGTGTGGCACGGGTGCAAAAGTAAAATTTTAGGATTCTAGATTAGGGATTCAAAGGGGACAAGATGGAGGAAATTGGGTGTGTCTTGTCCTTTTTCTCCTTCTTCATGCCCTCCATGTTTCACTGTGGTGTTGGCATTTTTCTGTTGGTTCAGGCTGGGGACACACTGTCCAACGTAGGTGACAGATATTGGCACGTTATTGTAAATCCAGCACAGGTAGTTTGTGGTATTTAATGTTTGTACCATCCCACTGAGGGCAGAGCCCCACACGCTGCCCTGCAGGACAGAGCTGCGGCAGGGCAGCAGAACATGGTAGAGATAAACAGAATAAACGACCTTAAAAACCAGCACAGACAATTTATGACTTCTTCTTTAGCAGCAGAGCTAAAAATCAGAGATTTTCTACAATCTTGGGGTCATTTAAATACCACAGATTCTGTCAACCGCCCTTAAAAGAATTTTTAAAAATGTAAAATTCAGCCAGTCCTTGAGTGATTTCTCCCATGAGGTCCCAAAACCCCCTGAGCTCAGGCTGAACCCCCAGGACCCCTTTTAATGCTGAGTTACAGAACTGGAACCTCACCCTAAACCCTCTTTGGATATGGAAGCTATTTTGGTTTATCCTCTTGTTCCAAGCAGCCCCACGATATTAATAAATAAATAAATAATAAAACCAGCATGTCAACATTTCCCTTTAAATTAGGCTCAGGAGGTGGTCTGCAGCTGCCCACCAAGCCTGCATATGTTTAATTCCTTTATCAATGCACTTCTTCCCAGCAGGGAGAGGGGAAGGAGCAGAATTCCAGCTGGAGGTGATTGGGGGTGTCTGGTTTAGAAGGTGTGAACACAAGTGACACCCAGCCCTGTTGTCAGTCCTGTGGAAAACACAGCAGAGCTGTCCCTGAGTGGGAGCAGGTGCTGTTTATCCACGGGGTACGGGCAGACATGGAGAAGGAGAGGTGTAAAAAGCGACCTCACAGCGCTCAGTTCACACAAAAAAGCTGCTCACCTGTCTGCCTGTTGTTTGTTTTGTCCCTGCCAGCCTGGCAAAGAGGACAGCAATGACCTTCCAGGAGACAGAAACATTTTCCTTCTCCCCACAACACCTTCCAGCGAGCCATTCTCAGATCTTCTGCGAGTGTGATATGCATGAAATACAGAACACCATAGCTGGCTTTATGAAATCCCTTTTTACAGCTTCCAGATCTCCAGCAAATGTACAAATAAGTGGGAAAGTGAGAGGGAGGGAGACGCACAAAGCAAATCCCAGGCTGAGGGAGCAGCACTCTGCTAACTGGATGGTCAGAGCCAAAATCAGAGCATCCAGTTATTTCAGCAAGCCCTGCCAAGAGAATAAACAAAGGAGCACAGGCCAGGTGTCAGTGATTATAATCCCACTGCTGCCAAAGTCACTCCTGTCTGCAGCCAGCCTGCCTTTGGCTCCCTCCCCCAGCACAAGGAATCATTCCTGAAGCAGACTGGGAAAAGCATCCCCACAAAGCACAGCTGCTCCTGGGCACCTGCTCAATGCTCAAAACCTCATAGAATTTTAAACCAGCACCATCCCTGGAGCTGCTGTGGAGGAAAGAACCTGTGGAAATGCCTCAGCACATTATTCCCAGTTCTGCCATGGAAAAGGAATGGTTTATGGATGAGATGAGCTGGATGCTTCCACACCCAAGATGATCCCTGTGAAGGTACCGGCTCTGCTCAAACCCCACCCCACCACCCACAGCAGTGTCTGATCTCCTTCCTTTCCCAGTTCAAATGGAACTGATCCATCAGCCTTTCCCAAAATCACACCATTTCTGCACCCTCAGCTGCCCCTGGGCACGGTGGGAGAACACACGAAAGCAGACAATGCTTTGGAAAATACTGCTAAAAGAAGTAAAAATCAATCAACTGCTAAAGGAAGTAAAATCAATCAGTGAGTCCTGGAGCCTGCCTGCCCTCACACAGGTATCCAGGCACTCCTCTCCCCTCTGAGGCCTTCTATTTTAGGAGAAACCTAAGGCTGAGCACAGGGAATGAGCCAGGCAGCCCCAGGGGAGGATGGGCCTGAGCTGCATCACACCTGCACAAAATAATAGTTTTCCACAAGTACGGGTGAATTAGGAAATAAAGAGAGGTTCCATTTCCTATTTTTTTCTCAGCAAACACAAACCCTTTCCACTGCTGAAGACTCTACAAGGGATTTTTTTACCATTTTTAAGTGCTGTACAATGAATATCTCTCCTTTTACAAGTGGAACCTTGTAGCTATGGAGACGCAGAATGTCAAATCCAAGCTGAAGACAGGATTTCAGTGGGGGCTTTGGGTTGCTACATGTGCCTCCAATGATCTGCTTTCCAGCTCCTGAAGTCTTTATTATTCTCTATATTATATTAGTCTCTAACAGCGTGCAAAGAGCCACTGGATGTTCAATAAGGACACAAACACAGGGTGACCTGTCAGACATGGCTCTGGGGTGTCCTGCACAGCCTGATTTACACCCAGGGCACCACAAATCCCCCCACCCAGTCCTGCAAAGTTGTCATCAGTTTAATTTAATCCAAATAAAACCGTTCTGGTGCTGCCACAGCACCTGGAAGCCAGGTGAGCTGGGGTCCCCTGGTGTTTAATGCTGTGTAACAACCACGGCCACCCAGGGGAATTGCACCATGCTGACCCCGTGTTACTGCACCTGGGAGGACCCTTGAACCTCCTAATTGCCTGCTGCAATCTGAATTATCCAAATTCCAGTCTCCCAAGCATCATGCCTATCTTCTGTGGTCCCAAATGCATTAGGGATGGTGGTGTCATTACCCAGGTCCTCAGTTATCAGGTGCACATTCATCTGTTTCCCACCATGGAGTAAATTAAACAACATTTCACTCAAGCTAGTGAAACTTCAGTGGTGCTAAACCTGAGCGTGAAGGGGACAGAACCTTCCAGGCCAGATTAATGCTCTTTGTGACAGCCAGGGGAAATTCAAAATAACTTGAACATCACTCATTTTCCACTTGTGCTGGTAACAGAGAACAAACCACACCACAACCTTCATTTTGCACTGTCCTGGAGCAACGACAGGGGCACGGCAAGTGGTTTTCTGTTCTGAAGACAGCACTGCTCCAGAGAAAGCAACCCCAAATCGCTGCATTTTAATTCCTTCCCCTTAAACTCCACGGTCCAAAACCACCTGACGACTTCAGATGCCAAATAAGAAACCTCTCATGGGCGCCCCATTGTCAGAGAATGAAAACATTGGGTTTTGAACAATCCAGATCCCAGAACTGCAGAGCCCCCTCTGCTCATCCTCACCACACCTCCCACAGCACCTGGGTGCCAAAGCCAGGCTCACAATTCCCAATCCCAGCCTGCACAAAGGGGTGGGAATCAACTCCAACAGGCACATCAAACACTCTCAGGTAGAACATCCACAACCAAGGAAGCAAAATCCCCCTGGTCAAATCACGAGTGACCAGGACTGCAATGGAATTGTGCAAATCCTCCTTTACCAGCTCTAAATAAGCATCAGTGTTCCAAGCAAACCCATTCCTTGCATCCACAGCAGTGGAGTCATTGCCAGGAGAGCAACAAAGCAATCTGGAATTTCTTTACAAAGCTGGACAGCAGAAGAAAAGTGCTGAGAGCTTTTCCTGATTGTGTTCCCTGTGTTGCTGAGTCAAATCCCGACACAGCCTGAAGATTGTGGAAATCAACTCCAGCAGGGCTGTCTAAGCCTCTACTGATCACTGAAATGAAATTAAACCCTCCAAGAATCCCCTTCTCCCAACCCAGATAATTGCTAATGTGCTGTTTGACAAAGGCTCATGTCCAGAGGAGCCTCTGTGTTGCTGCTGCTCCAGGAAAACAACTCCAAGATCCTTCTGCAGTCCTGTTGTCCCCTGGTTTGCTCCTGAACCAGATCAAAAATGCAGGAAATCTCTGGCATTATCATTAAATAGGCCATAAACCCCTCAAGATTTGATGTGGGGTCTGGAGAAAAGAGGTTTTCATATTTAGTTTTAAACCAGAAAAGGCTCATAAGCTCCTCTGTATCTACCAATCCATTAAAAATTGGTTTTGGTTGTAGCCACAGCTCATCAAATGGGTGCAAACAAGAGGAGAACAACACTCCAGATGCCTTTATCACAGTTGTTGACTCCAACTTAATAGCTTTTTTAATAAGTCTTAATTATTCAAAATAATCACCATCCCTTCCCTGCCTGTTGTCATTTAACGTGAGAGAACCTTCTATAGAGCAAACCCCAACGCAGGAAAAAAAAAAAAAAACCAACAAAATCTCATTAATCTTTCTAATATTTAGAGATACCTCAAGAGCTTCGAACATTTACCTCTCCTTCCCAGCAGCTGAAATGGTTTTAGGAGGATCATGGTTCATACCTCGCATTCCCTGGAGCCAGAGATGGTGTAGGTGCAGGGCCCAGATCCATTAACGGATACATCCATGGTCTCAGAGTTTGTTGGCTTGTAGTCCACGTAATATTCCTGCAAAGGGGAGTTCATTTGCCTCTCTGACTCCCGGGCCTTTTTCCTGCGCCTCTTCATGAGCGTGTGCTGCTGGAGCTGCTTCATGCTGGCGGGATAACGCTTCCAGGACACGTAGATGACCAGCAGGATCATGGCCACGGAGAGAAAGAGCGCCACGCTCCCCGCGATGATCTTGTGGAAGGACACGTGCTCGTACTCCGGCTCCACCGCGGGCGTCGGGATGTCTGCGGAAGGGCTCGGCATGGCAGATGTCGGCTGGTGGCTTTCCAGTTTGGAGACGGTGGGTTTGGGGATGAACACGGGTCTCTGGGGGGTTTTGGGAGCCTGGTAGGGCCTTTCGGTAGCCACCACCTGGATTTCGGCACAGATATTATAGGTTTCCACAGCGTCGCTCA